GTGAGCTCTTAGCAGAAACATCAACTGCTGTAATCAAAGGAACCATAATAAAAATCGCAAAAGAAAATAAACCCACATTTTTCAAGCAAATAATCTAAAAGGAAGAAAACATTTCCTGCAAACCCACAATGCACATGACCACAGGATAAAATGCTGAAAAACACGTACACCTAACTCTCTATTATGCTTGATCACTCATGCACATTCTGGGGGAAGAAATAGAGATTTTGTCACTGCAGTCAAGTGTATTTTAAATCCAACCATTTTGATTGCTTTGACGTTCATTTACATTGGGCGCACTTTAAAAGAAAATCTTTCATAACATCAGGTTGCTACACCACAATCAACTCAAATTATTGATGCATAGTTGAATTTCACAACTTCACTTTCCATTCCACTGCATAATAGGAATCAAATGAGAGACTCGCCATTCCAAACCATACATATAAATAGTATTGCTATTTCTCTAGACATTTGTCTACTGGTTTCTGATAAAATGCTATACTAAGGTATAGGAAGAAGTTCTGAAATATAAGATAAACATCTGAAAGCATTTTAAACCAGTTTGCAAAGCTCTCTATGGTAATGCTGGTATTATGAATTTTACAAATTCTTCATGTATGTTTATCCAATCTTCTTTTCATAACTTCTTGGAGCTTTTTTCCAATGGTATGTGATTTTTTACCCTCTGTAACATAAAATCATATCAGATACAGCTTAATAAACATGTACAGAAAATACCAAACATTATGAAACGTTGACACAACCACATTATAAATAAATTGGCTTTACAATTAATCTGTGATAAGCAAATCATTATTTATGAAACTAAATTATAACAAAATGGATTTATAATTAATTTGTGATGAGCAAATAAATCCTTCACATCTACTTTCAGTTTGGGGCTAGTATGCTAATGAATTGAAAAGAAATTGGCTTAATATAGAAGAACTAAAGAATTAAATTACACTGTATGTAAGATTTCTTTATAGTTTTTTTAAGTAATTGAATGATGTATACAAAATTCAAATTATTTTGAAAGTGTTCAAGAAATATTTGGTTTTTGGTTTCTAAAGCATGCTAATAATGAGTTTCTTTTAAAACATGAATTGACAGTTTGTATACATTATAGGCGAACTACCGGTAACTGTAATGCAATAATTATGCTACAAGTCTGTTTTTTTGAAAGAAATTTTTCACTTGATGTTTCCTTTTAATAATTCTGATGCACTTCATAATAATTAAGTGGATTTCATAATAACATGGACTGAATAATCAGGTTTCATTAGTGGCTATAATCTGTTTTCATCATGAAATCATCGAAAAATGTGGCTACTGATATCATCTTCTGAAATCCAAGAAACAAGAAATAATTTTGGGACTCTTACACATAATTTGTATATGTTTGAACATAAAAAGGAACTAGACTCCTTCTGATGACTCAATAAATTATCAGATTTTATGCTACAGGGGCAAGAGACAGCTCTCACAAAATAATGTCTTCTGTGCTACGCAAGGTAAATCCAACCATATTCCATAGTCAAGTCCTTTACCCGTGCTTCAAATGTAATGTGCATAACAATGCCACAAGAGGGCAGTACATAACATTGTACAGTAAATTCTAACTTCCAAGGAGCTTGTCTAAGATCTCCCAAAATATTTATACAAATTAAATATATATGTTTAAATGTCTTGTTTTTAAATTGGGAAGAGCATGCTCTGCAATTTCATCATACAAATTAATAAAAAAGTTAACAATATATTAGTGAATGAATGCCTAATCACAAACAAAAAAGTTTGCACCTGGCCAGCATCTACATTTATTTCAGGACTGAACATTCACTATGCTAGGAATCTAGAGAAACAAACAATATGTTTAGCCCTGGTGCCGGTATCAAGTGCCTGACTCAAGATGTAAATAATTCAGATGACATTAAATTTTCTTTTTCAAATATTACATTCAAGGTGCTTGTAGAAGGTTGGGTAGAAAGAGTTTGATGTTTATTTTAAAATCTGATCCCAGGGTTTGAGAAGTGATTAATCAAAAGTAGATTCCTCAGGCTGACAAGCTTAAAATTGTCAAATTGTCTCTAAAACTCTACCTAGTTTTACAGGTGATTCTACCAATATCTAAAATCTAGTCATTTCTATATACAAAAAAATGATGTTTTATTTTCCAGTGCCTAAATGTCAGCAAAACCTTTTCTACTTCTTAAAAAGAGAAATTCACTTATTCATCATTGTCTGAATAATTCTCAAGAGTTGTTCTAAATCCTACTTTTTAGGGGAAATAGCTTTTTTAATGGATAGATTATACATGTTCAGTGAAAGGAGGATTTATATTGTGTACTGTTACTGTTAGCAAAACATCAAAGGTACATAATCATTGCGGTATACAAGTTTATGTAAATATCAGTGACTATATATAAATTGCCAAATTCAATAAATGCCATATTAATAAATAGAAGATGTTTTAAAACAATTTGTAACAACCTAAACTATTAGAACATATCCAGTCTTTCAAAGTATAACTGGGTTTTGGTATAAATTGCCAATTTCGATAAATGCTATATTCATAAGTAGCCAATGTTTTAAAACAATTTGTAACCATCGAAACTATTAGAACATATCCAGTCTTTTAAAGTATAACTGGGTTTGGGTATTCATACTAAGCCTCAAGTAATTGCACAAATTTGGAAAACTGATCCCCTTTAATATCATTATCATTGCTTAGGAATTTTAATGTAAATAGTGTCCGGGAAATCTGAAGGGTACCTCATCAAGTACATGTAAAGCCCCATTAATTGAGACTTACTTTTCATGAAAATCCAATCAAAATTAGAGACAAGGAAACATTTTAGGAATTAGTCCTTTTGATGCCTGTACAATTACAGGAATAAAGAAGACCAAAGACAATTTTGAACAGACTAAAGCTACATGGTCTGTATTTAATTCAATACTTAGAATAAGTAAAACAATTACTAAGTAAATTGCTAAGCTAAAAACTTTACTTATCTCATATGCAAATTGCATTTTAGACTTTTCCATACTTAAGACAAAATGTAAGTAAAAAACTTACTGATAAGTATGGAATTGAATACGGGCCCAGGGGAAGGATGAAGAGAGTAAGAAAATGAACAAGAATCAGAACAGTAGACAGTCACTATGGCCTGTATTCTACTTAAATTTGACCCAGATGGCGGGTTTAGAATTTTGTTCAAACTCAAGTTTAACAAATGAAGCTAGTCTTATGTCTAAGTTTTCCTTTGTTAAATGTGACCTTAGACCCCAGGTTGGGTCTATTTGTATTAGTAGAATACAGACCTATCCGTTACCAATGACCATGATCCTCTAGAAAACTTGACTTCAAGTCTATACATAGATGTGCTACGACATAAGAATCTCGATTATGAAATGAAATTAAATGATTGCATATTTTCTGACTTGTGTTACAAAATTGTACTATTCTACGTAAATCATGATGACTTTCACACTCACTCATAGGCCCAAACCTTTATTAACCCAATACATTCCTTTAAATTATATTTCTTCCAGTCCTCATTTTCCCTTTCTTTCTCTCTCTCTCGGGCTCTATTTGATATGACATACGATACCAATGTTTAAAAATATAAATGCATTAAAAGTAAGATGTCCTAAATGAAAAGTACTGGGGCTCTCTTGAGGGCCATTTTCGCAGTACGAGGGACCCCCCCCCCCCCCAAAAAAAAAAAAAAATATATATATATATATATATATATAGATATTTAGCACTGGGGTATTTCTAAGTCTCAAACCTCAAAGAACATTATGTTCATTCAAGAATAAGCAGCCAAGATTCTATATTCATGCCAGGCGGAAATATCAATAAATATCTACAAACTTCATTTTTATGATTGTTACTAATATCGAGCATAAATACTAAAATAAAGATCGGCGATGCCATTACAGACGTCCCATACATACATTATCATCATTATTATATGCAGTATTTTCCCTCTCATGAGGGATTACCGGCTCTGCACCTTGATCACACTCCATTCCTCCACCTCTTCTTGTCTCAAGTATCAGCTCATTTACACCAACGTAACTGCTTTCTTTCTTCACCATATCTTTCCATGAAATCTTCCGTCTTCCTTTCCCTCAATGCCATCCCCTCCCAGATCTCTCACTCTTTTTACAGTTTCATCATCGTCCCTTCTGACCCATCCATCTCAATCTACTTCTCTTTACCACACCCAACCTTTCCATGAGCTCACTTGCGTTCTATCTATCAGATAGTTTCACACCACACATCTTCTGTACCATGGGTCTTTCGATTCTTCTCAAGATGCCTTCTTCTACTGTATTCACATTACATGTTTCTTAGCCAGATACCATTGCTGTTCTAAAACAGGCCTTCCAGATCTAGCGAGAAACTTAATCTAAATGAAATACAGGTAACTATCACTCGATATGACCACTGATTACCAGTTCTTTCTGACACATCTAATGGCCAAAAGGACTTTTTCATCAATAATGTTAGTATGGTCATTAGATCCTAAATGCTGTCCTTCTATCCTGTGAAACTACACATCTCATATTAATATAACTATAGGACCAATAACGCAGTTTGTCCTTCGTCTTTCCATAACGGTGATCCATAAAAGAAAACAAAAACATGTTTTTGAAGTAATCCCGTAAAAGTATTACATGAATCAATATCCAGAAAGTGGGCTTGGGTAATTGAATAGGTTTCGAAATGTTTATACACCTAGAGACAAAAGAAATATTGTATGATAGAAATATAATCAATGTGTGTTCATAGACGTATTCTGTTTTTGAAAAATAAATACATTTGATGGAAATATGCATGAGACCCAATTTCTAGGCTGGAGAAAAGGATTTGCAGTTTGCTTTTTTAGAGCTCTCATTTCCTCCAGCCTTCCCAAATCCCATTCCTTTTAAACTGATTAAATATATCAACCCACTTTCCATCCATCCACCATACTAACTCATCATACCTGGGGTTTATCGGCTTGTAATCTCCTTCTGCACTCATCCCCAAAGATAACGGTGTGCTCTGGAAGCCTTTCATGGCTGGTGATATTGCAGAAGGCTCCAATCACGCAGCCATTACTCATTTCTGTGTCTCTCCCGATGAAAGCTATAAAAGACAACAAGAGCGGTGGTGTGGTTTCTCATAAAAGTTACAGATACAGGACATTAAGTATAGCCTGAGCCTCTTTCATACTTGACAAGGTAAACTGCCTGAAAAAATGACAAAAACTGAATGTATAGGAAATGAAGTATAGGCTTGGTCTCATTCAAGGTAAACAGCCTAGAAACACCAAAATCTATTAGTACAGGACACAAAGTATAGGCTCAGCCTTATTCATACTTGACAAAGTAAACAACCAACGACAACAAAAACTACAAGCTGCATGAACAGTTCCAAGAATTAATGGTTTAGCCTCATTCATACTTGACAGGATACACCGCCTGGAAAACCCACCATGGCAAATTAAAATGGAAAGGTGTTGTGCGTATCAAAATGTGTATATTAATTACACAAAAATAAGAGTACAATGTAGGGGCCTTTGGTGCAAACAGCTGTTTACTCCCCCTTCCCCTCCTCCTCCCCCTTCCCCTCCTCCCCCCCCCCCCCCCTCTGTTGTAATCAGTTACCAAATATCTTTTTTTTGTTGCTGCAGCACAATTTTTATGTAGTTTATCTCGAAATTAGTGTGAGAGGCCAATAAAAGCTGTAAAGTGTAACAGGAGACATGGGTCTGTCATGATATTCTCGCCACTAAACAGCGCAGCAGGGGTTGCCAAATTAAAGCTGCATAATATAACTGTAACATAAAACTAAAGCATTCAATAATTCATACATCATCTACACGTTATTGAAAAAGAGAATACCCCTCCAATCTCGGTACATTTTTTCTTCATTTCAACTGCAGGTTTCTGCTCTACAACTTTTGTAATTGTCTACACTACCGTACTTTAATCTAAACAGCAGCTCCTATAAGTCCTCCTGTTTTATATCCTTCAAATACAAAAAAAGGTTTAATATGAACAAACTTACCTTTTGATTCCACAACATTATTGTTACCAACACGTACTGCCTCACATCCTGATAGGATTAAAAGCTAGAGTCAAGAAATATATCTCGGAAAAATGCAATATGTAACATAACTTAGAAAATACAAAGCTCCTTGTACCCCTTTCAAAATTTGGACTCAATTCTATCTTTATAGCTACATACTGTACATAGTGCACCCCATTTGTAACACATTGTTTTGGTCGAATTCAAGTGTATTAGTATTATTGCATTTTCACAAATGTCCAAAATGAGGGGGGAAAATAGGATTTTAAGTAGACATTCATTGACAAATTATGGCCAAAAATTGATTACTACAAATCTGGAAGCTTGCAGATAACAATCGTATAAGTTTAAGGTCAACTGCATATCGGACAATATCAAAACTAACAGTAACACACATTAAAGCACTTCTTAGAATTGGGGATATTCTAGTGCTTTGCCAGAAAACCAAGCAATATTTTGATGAAACCACATCGGGACTAATCCTGCATAATTATTTCTCAATTATAAGATTTTGATTGGTATTTCATACAGTGCAAGGATTCAGTGCAAGGATACATGATCAATTACCGGTAAACAACTACTGAAATATCAGCCCACTTTCAAATTGGAAAGCCTACCAAACAATAGAATGGACAGTGTTAGTTTCCAAACAAAACGCTGCACATGCGTTGGTGTATATAGGTGAATCTACAACAGTGTCTTTCTTACAAGCCATAGTGAAGCTACAGCTGATTTCATAATTTTTGTATAATGCTGTATTTTTTTCATCAAATAAAACCATGTCCGGAATTAAGAGTGATAGTAACAGATCAAACCATTACAACACTAGTGAAGTAAGAGAAAGAAGTTAACAGGAGAGGACGAAACAAGCACTGAAAATGAGCATTATTATGGGACATCGTCTGCTTGAGTGACGTCACAAATCTCGGCAGTGTTCAGAGAGCTCTTCAAGTGCCAAAGTGGGACACTATTTTACCGTTATAAAATTGATAATAATTGTTTCTTTGAATGTTTCCACACAGCAATTTTGATAAACTTTGATCTAACCTTCCCTTATGCAATGATACAAAAGTCAATATTTAAAATCAATGCACCTCTACTTTAAAGCTTATCTGTACTAGTTTATAGGAGGGATTATACCACCCTGCAAGGTCACTGGACAGGTGGTTATCTCATCAACTCAGCTTTCAATTAACATAAGAAAAAGAGGATCACGAGGGACCAATGGTCACCGATTAGGCTTTGTTTTCTATAAGGAGGGAGCAAGTAGCTACAGGTAGTACAGTGTGGCTTAAGAATAATTTGTAAGGGTAAAGAACTGAAGATTTTCTTATAGACGCAAACATACATCTTCACCTTTGTGAATTGGTAACCCTGCTGAAGTTTACCTTGATTCAGCTTAATTGTACACAGGGGTATTCCATTCCAAAGAATAATAAAATAGGAATTCAAAATTCAAAATGGTGTTTTTAAATAACATATTGCCTTAGTAACTGCCTTGATAGTTGCAGATACATATACAGAGGAAAATCTTTCTAAAAAGCACTGTTATATTAACAACAAACTCTCATCATAACAAGGCAATTTTGCCAATCTGACTACTATGTATTTGACTGTTTTCAGACCTGATATAACAAGGTTTCTATATATGGACAAAATTTGATTGGTCCCAAGAAGCCTATCCCGAGGAATTTGTTATAATGACGTTCCACTGTACGCAGTTGAAAGTTTCAATTTAGATGAGATTCAAGAGCAGAGATCTAGAGATTCTTGGGAACTGATAAGGATACGTGAACCAACTTCAAAGACATTGTTTGCTCCTATCGTCATGGTGATTGGCCCCTCTTGTCCGAGCTGCTTTCTGGAGAGAAAAAATGATGAAAGAGTAATAGTAACAAATATTACAATAACACCAATAAAAACAACACTAGCATTAGTAACAGTACAGTATTGTAAATAATAATGATTGATAACAACAATATTGATAAGGAAAATAGTATTGACCTGTATCATGCATATTAGAGGGCGCGGCTCAGCTGCGACCACCACTGGTATTTTCCTCTCCAGTTTTGATTGATTTTTCTTTCTATATTTCGCTTTTGTGTTTTTTTGGACTTCTTAACTCAAATAAGATGGATGAACTTTGTTCTAGTGTTCGTTACATGTTTGAATACAGAGAGTCATGCGTTATGTGTTTTTCAGAGACCTGGTTGCATGACAACATTCCCGATAACGAACTTGGACTAAGGAATTTTCATTTGTTAAGCTCAGATCGTACACAAGAATCCGGTAAATCAAGAGGGGAAGGGCTCTGTATGCACATCAATGAACAGTGGAGCACTAATTGGTCAATAAAGGAAGAATTGTGTACTCCTGATATTGAACTTGTGATTGTTGGATTACGCCCATTTTATCTTCCGCGAGAGTTTAATCAGTTGTTTGTGATGGTGGTTTACATCCACCCAGGGGCTGATGTGGCTGTTGCCAGTAGAGCGATAGCAGATAGGATCAATCGCCTGGAATCTAAATCACCGGACAGTCCTAAATTTGTCATAGGTAATTTTAACCAATGTACTTTAGATGATGTTTTACCTACGTATGAGCAGTATGTTAACAATCATACTCGAGGGGACGCGACGCTTGATCGTTGCTATGGGAACATTTCAGAGGCGTACAAGTCAAAGGCCTGCCCGCAACTAGGGAGATCAGACCATAACAACAGTTTGCTCATTCCGACCTATCGGCAGTTGCTCAAGCGCAGTAAACCAATGAAAAGCATTCGCAAGATTTTGTCCAGCGACTCCATTGAGATGCTTCGCACACGCCTGGAAGGAACAGATTGGGACCTTTTCTTTGAAGCAGCGAACTCACCGGACGAGTTAGCGGAAACAATAACGGATTACGTAAGATTCTGTGAGGATTCTACTATTCTTACGAAGGAGGTGGAATTCTATCCGAACGACAAGCCTTGGACTTCGCGAAAAATTAAAGCGTTGCTATTGGAAAAGAGAGATGCATTCGCGAAGGGCGACAATGCGCTTGGAAAGACTGTGCAGAAGAAGATTGACGAGGAAGTTAAACGTAGCAAAAAATCCTACAAAAGAAAACTTGAGCAAAACTTTGCACAAGATAACTTCCAAGCATCCTGGCGTGCAATGGAAATGATTACCGGTTACAAGAACAAAAGTAGGGGTAATAAACTATCCGTGGACTTTGCTGATGAACTAAATCGTTTTTATGCTAGATATGAGACAATGGACTTTAGTGATGACAATAGTTCCCTGAGTCAATTCTTTGAACAACAATTATCACAAGATACTTTGTCAAATGTTGTTGATGGTACAGTATACTTCTCTGGATTAAATGTCAGGGAAGTACTTAATTGAGTGAAAATCAACAAAGCTACAGGGTCCGATGGTGTATCAAAAAGGACATTAAAGGTGTGTAGCCAGCAATTGGCTCCAGTTCTACGGCAAGTGTTTTTGATAATTTTTTATGCTGGTTTGGTACCCAATACTTGGAAAAAGTCTTCAATCGTTCCAGTTCCAAAAATTACGAAGGCAAACGAACTTAATGATTTTTCGCCCTGTAGCTTTGACATCAAATATTATGAAGTGTTTTGAGAGATTGATGTTGACATATTTGTTGAAACAAACTAAAGAATTTATGGATCCTTTTCAATTTGCGTACAGACCGAACAGGAGTGTGGAGGATGCCGTTCTTGTGTATTTGCATAAAATATATGAGCATTTGGATAAACCAAAGAACTATGCTCGGTCGCTTTTCTTGGACTTTAGTAGTGCTTTTAATACTAGCACCTCACTGTCTGGCTCGTAAGCTGATAAGAATGAATGTAGACCTTAGATTGATTAGCTGCATTCACAACTTCTTGATAGGTCGAACACAGTACGTAAAGGTGGGTGGTCATCAGTCATCTACGGTGACTACACTAGGTGCCCCTCAGGGGTGTGTCCTATCCCCGGTTTTGTTTTCACTGTATACAAGTGATTGTGTAAGCTCAACTTGCTGCTGTAGCATACTCAAATATGCTAATGACACCGTAATTGTTGCTCTTTTGTCTGATCAGGCGAATGATTATTTCTCACAGTTAGACGAATTCATTCGCTGATGCAACAATCATTACTTAACATTAAACACAACCAAAACCAAAGAAATTGTAATCAACTTCCGTCGAAAAGATACAGACCACGAGAATGTGATCATTCATAATGAGGCGATTGAACAGGTTGGAAACTATAAGCATGTTGGAACTGTCTTAAATGACAAATTATCATGGAGGGATAACACACAATCGGTGTATAAGAAGGCTAACAAGAGGTTGTTTTTTCTGTGTAAGTTAAAAAGTTTCCATATTAGATGCAACAATCCTGACCCTGTTCTACAATTCAATAATAAAGAGTGTCCTGCTTTTCAATATTATATGTTCATTTGTCAATCTCTCAAAACAGGACAAGAAGAAATTAGAATGGCCACGTAAAATAGCACAATGCATAACTGGGGTAGAATTAGCTTCTGTCAAGTCTCATTGTACTGAGCATATTGTTGATAAGGTCTGTGCAATCATGAAAGACAACACCCATCCATTTCATTTATTTTATTCATTTAATCGTTCTGGTATCTGACTTCGCCCCACCCCGACCCGCCTTTCACGATTCAGATATTCATTTGTACCCGACTCTGTTCATAAATTCAACTCACAGGTTAAACATTAAACTTCTGCGTCAGAAATTAGTTATATGATTTGAAATATACCAATGACCATTTTTGTCACTTCATTATCTTTTTGCATGTATTTGTTCCTTATTTCATCTATTTCATTCTATAAACGTGATGTATTTATTTCTTGTAATTATGTATTTTGTTGAATATGACTGTGACGCCAGTGGAAAACAATTTTCTATGTAACTTGTTTGCAAAGACCAAATAAAATATCTTGTATCTTGTATCTTGTATTGCTTCTGCTTCAATAGATAATGTCTACTCTTGTTATTATGTTCTTGTTATTTCTACAACATATTTTTCTACCTCAGTCACAAGACTAAACCGACTCCACATCGACTCCAAACCGATTGGTTTTTGGCCATTGAAAGTAAGGTAATTTCTTTTTACTAAATCTGATATCGAGCTGGTGTCGGTCTTGTTGGTGTGATTAGGATACCAGGGATGGATCTAGATGAAATGGAAACTTGAACAGGCTCAAGATGACTTTCATCAGGCCTTTTGAAAGATATTTCTATGATTCCTTTCTGAAAGATAATTCTATCATTCCTTTCTGGAAAAATACTTTTATCATTCCTTTCTAAAAGACACTTTTATCATTCCTTTCTGAAAGATACTTCTATCATTCCTTTCTGATGATACTTCTACCATTTCTTTCTGAAAGATACATCTATTATTCTCTTCTGAAAGATACATCACCTGTTAATGATAACTACTTGGTCCTCCACCAAGTTGCTCTCTCCTATCACAATAGGTCCTGCTTCTGCTATGATCCTGGCTCTGGGGTGGATTACAGTTCTTGGGCCTGGATTGTTAACAAACAAGGAAAATAAAGTATGAAGTTAGGGAACAACTTTCCTAATACTACAATTCTCTATGCTCTTGACTGTTACATAAATAATAGGATTTTTTAGGTAAATTGAAAGCCTGTACGATGGACAACAAGCAGCTGTAATAGTGGAAAGCGAACTATCAGAGTGTTTCTCCATCAACAGTGGAGTACATCAGGGATGTCTCATGACACCCATGTCCTTCAATTTCTAATCAGAGGAAGTGATGCGGTAGGAGTTTCTATTGGAGGGAGAGAAATGAATAACCTGCGCTATGCAGATGACATACTTCTGATTACTACATCTCCTGTAAATCTTCAGAGGCTACTGAATGAGGTGGATAAGGTTCCAGCAAATTTCAGCTCGAAATAAGTGTTTTGGGTTGGTAAGACAGCATAAACTGCAGTATTTTGGACAGGTAATCAGGGCCCAAAATCTCTGTACCCACATCCATGAGGGTCAAATCTCTGGGATAAGGTCAAGACTCAAAACTCAAGACTCAAGAGGAAGGCAGAGAAGGAAATGGACAGATGATATCAAACAGTGGACAGTGATATCCTTTGCAGAATGCACATAAACAGTGGGATGAGGAGACAATGGAGAGCATTTAAATGTATGAATCCATGATCTACTGCATCCTACTGGGTACCCATTTAACAACTAGGTGGAGAGTGGCAAATGTAGATTAATGTCTTGCCAATTGTCATTACTGCCTATGATCCAGGCTGAAGTAATGCCTAATTGAAAGTTGAAATCTAATATAGTTGTCACATACATGTCCACTAAAATGTTGTTATTGGTGAACTATAGGTCAAAATAGCTTGGACTTGCCTAAATACAAATGTAAATTAAAAAAATACTGATTATTTTCAATGTTTTGAATGATCTGTAGCATAATAGTACTTGACAATAATTATACTACTACTGCATGTTGAAATTATAGAGCTTATTGTAAGAAGGATGTTTGATGCTCACCAATGGTAATATCTCCTCTCAGCTCTGCTTCCACACACACCACTGCTCCTGCCCCAATCTTAATACTATACAAGAACAAAACAAAACAAAACAAAACCAATAGAAATAAGAAGAAATTCTGTCTATCTCCATTATCCTTATTGACTCCTAATTTATTAATTTCCATTCTCTGAAAGAATCAAAATATATACAGAAAAAGGTCCAGTGGACCCCTTTATATTAGTCGCTATTTATATCAGCATTCCCATTGATACAATTTAACTTACTGTACTGAGCTATATTTAGCTCCTCTTTTTGAATCGTGCTCAAACCTCAGGATTGCATAAAGTAAGGAATCCATCATCAATTTTCTTGTAAAAGATTAAAACAATTTTTTACAATTGAAAATCTAATCATAATTTCATGCATTATATCCTTGAAATACAAGAATTATAACACCATTCATGGATATTACATTCTTTACACCATAATTCCATTGATGATTAAGTATAGAAAGAAAAAAACAGATTTTTATTTTATTTTATAGTAAACCTTGCACGTTTGCACAAGTTACCAGTACATTTTTTAAGGGTTCTTTCAAAGTTATTTTTTTTTTTTTTAAGTTCTGCAAATTATGGGTGTATCAGAATCCATATTCAGATAGCTTAAAGAAGAAACAATAATATTTCAGAGCTTTTGTTTGATTCATTATTCTACATTATACATGTAGTTTCCATGTTTATAATATGCCAACTGAACACTGCTGTGCAAAGGTGCAGTTGCAGTCGATTTTATGAGCAAACTAGAAGATTCACGAATGCTAGCGAAACCGGATGTGAAGGAGGAATATCAGCGGTAATTTCTTAGGTTTTCATACATGATTTTGAGCTTTGAATCACCTGGAAATTACAGAATTGACCTTATTACAAAAGTGAACAGTCATTTAAGGTTACATAACATTTTGGAGTGTCATACATGTATTTAAAATTCACTCCTGCATGAGGTCTAACCGTGAATGGTATCGACCTCATACACTCATCGGTGCTAAAAAGTACAAACTTACTTTCGAATACAATGCTCCGAATTCATACTGTTGCTGTAAATGACCGTAATAAATCAGTTTTTTAATATCCAGCTGATTCACAGCTCAAAATCATGTAGAAAAACTGAAGAAATCACCTCCGCCACGTCCTGTTTTGCTAGTATCTAATTTTCAGCTATTGATAGACCAAAACTAAATCGACCGCCAAAATCTTGGTCCCTACGATTCAGCGTGTACGGCTACCAAGTAATGAACATAATGAATACAAAGCAGCTATTTGCCAGGATTGACAATAGACTTCCGATTTAAATTTTCAGTCTTTTTTCCAACATCAGTACATGTATGATGTAGGTTGAATTGATAATTTTTTACTACTTTTTAGCCATTTTAGGTGTCATTAATTGTCACTAAAGTGCAGGCTTTGAGTGAATTCTGGTGATTTTTGTACAGACTACAGTGGTGTTTGAAAATATTGAGAATCAATAGAGGTCGTCCTAACTGTAGTTCCTAAACAAAAGAAAACATGCACTCCTGCAATGCATGAAATCTAACGGGATGGAAGTCTAAACGGGATGGACCTCATACTGTATATATATTTGTAAAGCGCTTAGAGACATTTGTATTAAGCGCTATATAAAAATTAAATATTATTATTATTATTCTAGCTTTAACGTGCAAACCTTAGTATCCATTTTTTAAACTTTTATACCGGTAAAATACTATGTTATAGATCTACATTACTTGAAATTTGAATCATATACATGTATTATATTGGTACATGATTCTAAAGAAATTTTGTAATTTAACTTTTAAAGCTTTTATCTTCCCCTCCTTTTTGAGAAACAACAGCTTGCTTAGTTTCCTCCTCTTTGATATAAAAAAAATTAAAAAGTGTGTTTTGAAGACACTCTATTTTAAAAGCAGTTGCGCAATATTTCCGACGGTTGACTGTCTATCTATCTCGCATGCGCAGATGCACAGATAGCCTGCCGCTCGGTTGTTTGTTCATTCACTTTGTTCGTTCATGTCTCCTGCCGCTGAACTGTGTTAACAACCAATCGCAACAATAAACAAATGCGATGTAATCGGGCGTTGAGGTCTAGATCCCTTCATTTTGAAAAAACGTCATAAAATGGCGGAAGAATCGATTAAAAGTAGGCTCAAATATCTGCAAAACCAAGGAAATTTTCATCAAAGAAACTTGTAATTTCCATTCAATACTTATTTTTTTATCATCATTGATTCATTAAATTGTTTTTAAACCCATTTGAAAGTATCATGCAGCAGGCTTTACAAATATATGCGTTAATGTGCTTTCATTGTTACACGAAAGAACGCACGCGGGACTGAACTAAACAAATTCAATTTTCCGATGTCTGACTGTCGACTGCGAAGTGCAAAACACTCTCTAAAAACTACAAATGATATCACTTTCACACATAATCTTCAGTTTATACGACATGTCCAATATTTCATGAAACACAGCCCATCACTAATATACTAAATTCGATGGAAAAATGTAAAACAATGATTTACCTCGGTCTAGGCATTGTTCCTGTAGAAGTCGACATTATGGCAGAATTCCATTATAACATATCGGAAGCTAACATACGGCTGTTCCTCTGAGACTACGTCTGGCCAAGGTCTGCATACCACCAGAAATGGTTTACCCCTATTAGACCTATATCGAAAGAAATCGTGTTCATGACTTGAAGGCCCCCAATTTTTTCAGTACATATGTGTACCACATATTCATCTACGAACATTTAGTTGTAGGGTGCTGTAGAATGCATATTTTCAGAATTTTAAAATTGAAAATCTTTTTTTCAATTCAATTCAAAATGGTTTATTAAAATACTTTCATTGCGCGGCAAAGCCGAATTGCGAAAATTTACAATAACTCAATGACAATTGATATAATGCATAATGTAGAACATGGTAACATTACAACCAAACTATTATTCATTGATAAAAAGTACAATCAGGATGGATGGAACAGAAAAGAAATTGGAAAGAGAAAGAGAGAGAGAGAGAGAGAGAGAGAAAGGAAGAGAGAGAGAGAGAGAGAGAAAGAGAGAGAGAAAGAGAGAAGAGAGAGAGAGAGAGGGAGAGAGAGAGAGAGAGAGAGAGAGAGAGAGAGGGGGGGGGGTGGGGAAACTGCAACTGGGATGTAGGAATACATGGACAGAGAGGGTAGAGAAATAATGATGAAAGGAAATTTTTAAAAAGGAGGATGGTATAGAGGGGAAAAGGAGGACGGCATAGAGGGAAAAAGAGGGGGAGAAGAGTAGCGGAACACAAAAAAATGAATGCAATTATTTATCATGATAAAATAGATTACACTACCTTCACATAAATATTCAAATACTGTTTTAAACATCTCGGCTGATTTGTAATTTCAGTTAAAAGTATGAAACTAAATCATTAATTGTCATTATATAAAATGAGAATGTTTTTTGATTATAGAGAAAAGAAAAATATGGTATTTGTATTTGCAAACATATTGATAAGAATAAACATTTTATGATCATTCTAGAAAACAATTAAAAGAAAGATCGAATCAAGGTACTTCAAATAAATAAATAGTGCATTCATTAATTGTTGAATTTCTTATATCGTGATAATGCTTCTTATTAGATAATATTGATGACTTTTAAAATTAATAAAAACAAAACAAACAACACCTACAAAAAAGCCTATTCATTATAATCAATCATATTAGTGTTAAGATGCCGAATCAAAGAAGGCAACTTGTAGTTCGTAACTTGTTATTAATTGTAGAAAATTATTTTGTTATTACTGTTATCATTATTTCTCTTCTTTTTATTATCATAATTAATATGATTATCATTATCATAATCATGATTATTATAATTTATCATTATCATAATAATTACTATTTCGTATTATGTTCAAGAGAATGCATTTTCCAATGGTATCTCTTAGACGGTCTGTGATTCCAAGGGAATGATGGATGTCTCTCACAGTAAAATCTGTAAAAGGGACGTCTTCATCCCCTCCGAAATCAGTTAGAAAAAGCCAAAGAGTATCTTAATAAACAATTTAAAGCTGTTTAACAAAATTGAGAGGATGTGTGGTCAAAAGTGTTCAAACAACGGATTTTGATTTTTTTTTTTGCTCGACGGTTGCTGCGCTCCCTTTCAAAAAGAAATGTATTCTTTCAAAATGCGTCTGTAGAATGCAAAGTTGGATCTTTCCCGTTTCTCTGCGTTCCCCAGTGAATGTTATGTTCCCATGGTATTGTCTCCTCCTCCCCCCCCCCCGTTCCAAAGTAACCATAGTTTATTACAAGTGATGGTGTGGTACAAACATTCTCTGTAACAGTGGCGGATCCAGGGGGCGGGGGCCCGGCCTCCCCCCACCCTCCCCCCCCCCTGGCGCTCAAGGGGGGGGGGGGGGGTGGCAATTTTCACATTTTTGAGGGCCAAAAAAAAAATGTGCTCACTACCCCCCATTTTTTTTCCAAGATCGGTTGAAATATTTTAGACTCTTTTTTTTTTTTACCTCGATCGATTACAAGTCATGTATGTGCCCCCCAAACATCAAACTCTGCATGGCTACGTGCCTGCTTATAATCAATATTTGAGGGAGCTATAAGCGATCGAGCTTATATAAAAAGTAAACAAATCCTAAAACATTCAGATGGACATACAGCCCTGGCTCGGGGTATAATGATCCTTTGTGAAGCACGGTATTATATTCTTTATTAATTTCTCTTCCTCTTTCTTTAATTCTGTTGCATTGTTCACGCCCCAAGTGCCACACTGGACACGTGCCCCGTCTGCACACCCCGGCTGCACACCCATACACTTCGCTACTGAGTGACTTTTCAAAGAAGAAAATTACTCAAGGTGATCGTCAAATTTTGTCAAATTATATATAATAAAGATACAGCACTGCCGCTTGGCGCCTTAGGCTAAATACAATATAGGTTGCAGGCGCGGATCCAGGATTTTCCTATAGGGGGGGGGGGGGGGGGGGGGGGGGGGGGGGGGGGGGGGGGGGGGGGGGGGGGGGGGGGGGGGGGGGGGGGGGGGGGGGGGGGGGGGGGGGGGGTGGGGGGGGGGGGGGGGGGGGGGGGGGGGGGGGGGGGGGGGGGGGGGGGGGGGGGGGGGGGGGGGGGGGGGGGGGGGGGGGGGGGGGGGGGGGGGGGGGGGGGGGGAAGTTTGAAAATTGCGCCGACCTTTTTTTCAAGGTCATATTAGAAGCACCATACCATTACAATTTTTGACATTTTCATCGGGGGGGGGGGGGCTATAGCCTCTTATCCAAAAAGTAACTTTCTGGTTTCACAATTCGGCTAGTGAGCGAAGCGAGCGAGCAACAATTTGAGCAAAATATGTATTTTGTGAAAGTGTTATTTATAACCAAAATAAACGAGAAAAGATGTCAAAAAATCATATGCGGGTAGCTCGCTAACCCCCCTCCCCCCCCCCCCCAATGACGCGCGAAGCGCGGAAGCTTTGACCTTTCATTAATAATTAGAGAAAGAAGACGATTTGTTGTACCATTCTCGACTCTTAATCCTTCTCTGAATTCAGTTTTCCCCCTCCCGCGCAAAGCGCGGAAGCTTTGACATGTTATAGTTTAATGAAATTATTAGAGAAAAATATGATTCGTTGTTCCATTCTCGACTCTTAATCCTTCTCTGAATTCAGTTTACCCCCTCCCGCGCAAAGCGCAGAAGCTTAACGTTTCATTAAATTATTAGAGAAAGAAGACGATTTGTTGTACCATTCTCGACTCTTATTACTTGACTGAATTCACCCCCCCCCCCTCCCGCGCGAAGCACATAAGCTTTGGCCTTTCATAGTTTAATGAATTTATTAGAGAAAGGAGATGATTCGTTGTTCCATTCTCGACTCTTAATCCTTGTCTGAATTCAGTTCCCCTCCCCCCCCCCCTCCCGCGCGAAGCGCGGAATCTTAGACGTTTCATTAAATTATTAGAGAAAGAAGACGATTCGTTGTACCATTCTCGACTCTTAATCCTTGGGTGTATTCAGTTTCCTCCTGCCCGCGCAAAGCGCGGAAGCTTTGCCCTTTCATTAATTATTATAGAAAGAAGATTTGTTGCACCATTCTCGACTCTTATTACTTGACTGAATTCACCCCCACCCCTCCCGCGCGAAGCACGGAAGCTTTAGCCTTTCATAGTTTAATGAAATTATTAGAGAAAGAAGATGATTCGTTGTACCGTCATCGACTCTTAATCCTTGTCTGAATTAAGTTCCCGTTCCCCCCCCTTCCCACGCGTAGCGCTGAAGCTTTGACGTTCAATTAATTATAAGGAAAAGGAGACGATTCTTTGTACCATTCTCGACTCTTAATCCTTGTCTGAATTGAGTTCCCGTCCCCCCCCCCCCTCCCGCGCGTAGCGCGGAAGCTTTGACGTTTAATTAAATTATAAGGAAAGGGGACGATTCTTTGTACCATTCTCGACTCTTAATCCTTGTCTGAATTGAGTTCCCGTCCCCCCCCCCCCTTCCCGCGCGTAGCGCGGAAGCTTTCACGTTTAATTAAATTATAAGGAAAAGGGGACGATTCTTTGTACCATTCTCGACTCTTCCTTGTCTGAATTAAGTTTTCACTTGCACGTGTGATGCGCGTAAGCTTTGACGGTTCATTAAATTATTAGAGGAAGAAGACGAATCGTTTTACCATTCTCGTCTCTTAATCCTTCTTTGAATTCAGTTTTTCCCCCTCCCACGCGAAGCGCGAAAACCTTGACGTTTCATTAAATTATTAGAGAGAGAAGACGATTCGTTGTACCGTTCTCGACTCTTAATCCTTGTCTGAATTAAGTTCCCGCCCCCCCCCCCCCCCCCCTTCCCGCGCGTAGCGCGGAAGCTTTCACGTTTAATTAAATCATAAGGAAAAGGGGACGATTCTTTGTACCATTCTCGACTCTTCCTTGTCTGAATTAAGTTTTCCCTTGCCCGTGTGATGCGCGTAAGCTTTGACGGTTCATTAAATTATTAGAGGAAGAAGACGAATCGTTTTAACCATTCTCGTCTCTTAATCCTTCTTTGAATTCAGTTTTCCCCCTCCCACGCGAAGCTCGAAAACCTTGACGTTTCATTAAATTATTAGAGAGAGAAGACGATTCGTTGTACCGTTCTCGACTCTTAATCCTTGTCTGAATTGAGTTCCCGCCCCCCCCCCCCTTCCCGCGCGTAGCGCGGAAGCTTTCACGTTTAATTAAATCATAAGGAAAAGGGGACGATTCTTTGTACCATTCTCGACTCTTCCTTGTCTGAATGAAGTTTTCCCTTGCCCGTGTGATGCGCGTAAGCTTTGGCGGTTCATTAAATTATTAGAGGAAGAAGACGAATCGTTTTACCATTCTCGTCTCTTAATCCTTCTTTGAATTCAGTTTTCCCCCTCCCACGCGAAGCGTGAAAACGTTGACGTTTCATTAAATTATTAGAGAAAGAAGACGATTCGTTGTACCGTTCTCGACTCTTAATCCTTGTCTGAATTGAGTTCCCGCCCCCCCCCCTTCCCCGCGTAGCGCGGAAGCTTTCACGTTTAATTAAATCATAAGGAAAAGGGGACGATTCTTTGTACCATTCTCGACTCTTCCTTGTCTGAATTAAGTTTTCCCTTGCCCGTGTGATGCGCGTAAGCTTTGACGGTTCATTAAATTATTAGAGGAAGAAGACGAATCGTTTTACCATTCTCGTCTCTTAATCCTTCTTTGAATTCAGTTTTCCCCCTCCCACGCGAAGCTCGAAAACCTTGACGTTTCATTAAATTATTAGAGAGAAGACGATTCGTTGTACCGTTCTCGACTCTTAATCCTTGTCTGAATTGAGTTCCCGCCCCCCCCCCCCTTCCCGCGCGTAGCGCGGAAGCTTTCACGTTTAATTAAATCATAAGGAAAAGGGGACGATTCTTTGTACCATTCTCGACTCTTCCTTGTCTGAATGAAGTTTTCCCTTGCCCGTGTGATGCGCGTAAGCTTTGGCGGTTCATTAAATTATTAGAGGAAGAAGACGAATCGTTTTACCATTCTCGTCTCTTAATCCTTCTTTGAATTCAGTTTTCCCCCCCTCCCACGCGAAGCGTGAAAACGTTGACGTTTCATTAAATTATTAGAGAAAGAAGACGATTCGTTGTACCGTTCTCGACTCTTAATCCTTGTCTGAATTGAGTTCCCGCCCCCTCCCCCTCCTGCGCGAAGCGCGGAAGCTTTGACGTTACATTAAATTATAAGGGAAAGGAGACGATTCTTTGTACCATTCTCGACTCTTAATCATTGTCTGAATTGAGTTCCCGCCCCCCCCCCCCCTCCTCCCGCGCGAAGCGCGGAAACGTTGACGTTTCATTAAAGTATTAGAGAAAGAAGATGATTCGTTGTACCGTCATCGACTCTTTATCCTTGTCTGAATTGAGTTCCCTCCCCCCCCCCCCATTCTCGCGCGAAGCGCGGAAGCTTTGACGTTTCATTAGATTATTAGAGAAAGAAGACGATTCGTTGTACCGTTCTCGACTCTTAATCCTTGTCTGAATTGAGTTCCCGCCCCCCCCCTCCCGAGCGAAGCGCGGAAACGTTGACGTTTCATTAAATTATTAGAGAAAGAAGATGATTCGTTTTACCATTCTCGACTCCCAATCCTTGTCTGAATTCAGTTGCCCCCCCTCCCGAGCGATGCGCGGAAGCTTTGACATTTCATTAAATTATTGGAGAAAGAAGACGATTCGTTGTACCGTTCTATATTACAGCTACCATGGATAAATCACGGCCGGGAGCGTCATAATTTTGTGTTATCGGGCGAGGGCCGGGGCCGGGGCGTAGCGACCAAACGAGATTTTGCAATGTTGAATGCTGAAATTATGCATTCTAAAAAAATCCCTAAGCCCGATATGTACGTTCTTTCCGCTATATTTATTTCTAGCTATATTTCTAAATTTCCTGGGAGACTTGTCCCCATATCGGGCCCAGGATCGCCGCCCCTAGCTGTCCATGATTACTACCAACATGAGTTCTAATACAATCACAAGCGAGTCGATACGAGCTGAATCCAAATGAAGGGCAAAATAAGAGTTGTCAAGCGGCCCTACCGTTAATTTAAAATTTGACTGTTGAGTATATAACTTCTATTTAAAAGACATCCAAAATGTTGTGCCCTTTTCAAATTTCTCACTAAAGAGTGATGACCGCATGGGCTGTTCTTAACGTTTAACTTTGAATCCGCGGCTCGAGATTTTATGCGGCCGGCCCGGCCCCCCTCTATTCAATAACGTTTGCCAATGAACCTTCTGGAATGTCCCCTAATCTCCCGATTACAGTTTTCCCATATTTGTCGTTACTGTCACTTAGCGCCATTTCCTTGCCTTTCCCCCTTTCTCACCGACTTTTCTTTTCCCCACCCCCCCCCCCCCCTCACCCTCTCAGTGTTATCTAGGGTACGCACATGTATGTTCCCTCTCTTTGAAAGCACCCCTCTGTCTCCGGTGTGTAAAGTCAGTACGGGCCGGATTTTTGTGTATTGCGGGCCGGACTTTGTTTCGTGAAAAGTAACTCTTTATCGGAAATTTAGGGAACACAAATTCGGTCCCTCCTACCCCGGAGTTAGAGGGAGGGGGGGGGGGGGGCTTTTTATTTATCTTTTCTCTTCTATTTTCTTTTCTCTTCTTTTTTCCTTTCTCTTCTCCTTTCTTTTCTCTTCTCCTTTTTTTTCTCCTCTTCTCCTTTCTTTTTTTCTCTTCTTTTCTTCCTCTTTTTTTTCTTCCTTTTTTTTTGCGCCGCCAATAGGGGGGGGCCGCGGCCGTTTCGGCCCCCCCCCCCCTGGATCCGCCACTGGGTTGCGCTCGATCATTTTGATATGCGCCTAATGGTTTTTATTGTAAACCAAACACTCCCGAAGACGGACAGTCAACCTGTCCGAAACGTCGAGTCTACTCTCCTGCTCCTGCTCTGCAACTAGCTACTCGCCGACTCAAGCCAGCTTCTCTCATCTACTCAACTCTCCAACTCAATCCAGTCTTCTACTCAAACCTCTCATCCTGTCTACAACTTTCTGGTTTACAGTCCTTTTCAGGACTATACTCACTTCCGAAAAATACTCTTCCTTCCAACCTCCACTTTCTCGCCTTTCCATTTCACTTCTATTTCTATCCACTTTCCTTAGTCCTTCTAGGACTTTACACATGGTGTACCGTAAACCTCTTCCGCGATTGCTCATACCACCATGCAAACCTACAAACATCAAACCAAACATAGTTGTGAAGAACAAAACCACTGAAAACAGAAAAATGACGACTAGATTTTGAAGAAAGACCACAGTTTGTACAAATATTCCATGCATTAAAAGCATTTAACATTTCAATCATGGCTCGAATTACAAAGCCATGGAGAAGCGAACACTTTGACTCATATCATAGAACATTTATGTTCCCCAGTCGATGAGGGTTGATCAACATCCACGTGTTTTAGCTTCAAAGTTCATGTCAACGGGCAATGCTGTCATCGCATTCCACGGAATGAGCTAATGTTCAACCAATCACAGCTCGACTTTGCCTTGCAGGGATATTTATGACCTTTGACAGCGAAGCCAGCGTATCGTAGACTTTGGTTTGGGCTCAGAATTCTATTTACTATTCCTTGCCTACTATCATTTTCGTCTGCGGTATGCGAGAACCTTTTCATGTTCAACGAAGCGCGAGATGCGTTATTGAATTACAAAATCACAGCTCTTTCTTCAATCCCCTGCTATTATGAAGGTAAATACCTCTGAAAACAAGAAACGCTACACGCTTCAACCCTTCAAGATAAACCCCTTCTTTCGGAGCTATATTGCATTTGTCTTCTTGTACTTGAAGTTGTAGTACTCACTAGTAGCAGCCACTGTATTTCCTACCAGTACATTCCAGCAATCATATAAACCAGGTAAGTTTCAACCCTAATTATCATACCAAGGTAAACAATCTTGTAAGGTACATTATACAATGTAACATTGCATTCTTTCGTCGTGTTCGTGTCGTACGTTTACACATTCCAGTCTATTATTATACGCTGGGAAGGTAATTGGTACACGCTTTGGTGTAAATCCATTGGCTTTTCAGCACGCGCAGTGGTATACAGGGGAACGAGAGCCATTTACCACAGGTGGGTGCGGTGATGGTATGCAAGCGTTCTGGTGTTAGTGGTTGTGAGTGCTCTCCACATATTTTGGCATGTATTTGACAATACATGACAGCTGACTTGATGCCTGGGTTCAAGTTTGACAGAGTGATTGTGTTACAATGGTTCATGTTATTAGCTTGGTAAATTAGTCATACAATTTCTATCAAAGTTGTCAATCTCGTTTCTCTTTGACGCTGTTGAGTAATACTATACTCGTATCCTATCATTATTGACACCCTTCGTAATTTCTAGACCTTGTTAGCGTATACTGCCTTGCCCTTTTTGAATTCCCTTTCCCTTTCCATTCGAGATGATGTTTGTCCTCCCGTCTTATATGCATATTGTGTGTCAATATTTTATCACTAACGTTTCTCTTGAATATAATATGATATGGAGTATTATTCCATTATTTTCCCTCTCACTCCCTAAACGTAAACATCATGATCTGACACCGACAGTGGTCACTATTAAATCTCTATTCTTCGGGCCGATGAGCTCTGTCGATTAGTCATCCACTATCCACGATTCTGTGGGGAGGGGGGAGGCAGTCTAAACATTTCTGTCAAACAAAATTAAACGAGAAAAGAGGGTAGAGGAAGAGAGAAAGAATGTATGTTTCATGTTAGCAGGTGTCTTAATTATTGGGATTATATTAAGTTGTCAGGGGCACAAATAAATACTCAGGGCTGTTTCAATGCCAGATTGGGTTGGCTTTTGGGCACGTGCCCCCTCTTAAACCCCCTTGACCCGCAACTTGACCGTAACCTATAGGGTTACAATGTATTCTAGTAGTGGATACTCTAATAAAGTATCGTTTCAATCATACAAATGAGATATCATAATTGTATATAACACTCCAGAACTCCGAGCATGGTTGCCATCAGGCGCGTACGCAGGGGGGGGGTGTTTGTGGGGGTTAACCCCCCCCCTTTGGTATTTTTATGTGTATAAACCCCCCTAAAAAATCCCTAAAACCCCCCCCCCCCCCCCCTTTGGATTTTTTTTTTTTTTTTTTTTTTTTTTTTTAATTATTAAAAAAAAAAAAAAAAATTACCCCCACGACTGACCTAAGAAAGGTGACCTTACCCCCCCCCCCAAAGGAACAAAATGTCAAATTTTCAAATTTCGAGACCAAAAAAAAAAAAAGTGTCCTCTTACCCCCCCCCCCCCCCCCCCCCCCCCCCCCCCCCCCCCCCCCCCACTGAGCGACTTTTCGGCTGGCTGAGTCGTTGCGATTTTTTTTGGACTACCAAAAAAAAAAGTGTCCGCTTACCCCCCCCCCCCCCCCCCTCCCCCCCACTGAGCGACTTTTTGGCCGGCGCGATTTTAAACCCCCCCCCCCCCCCTTGAAAAAATCCTGCGTACGCCACTGGTTGCCATAAATAACACTGAAGCATTCTATTTATGTCTTGTACCAATTTTCTTCACGCGCGTTCATTAATGTATTGCTTTTTTTTTGGGGGGGGGGTTGTTGTTGTTGTTCGTTTGGTATTATAATGGCTATTAGTCAAATTTGACTTTGACTAATATGGATGGTGTCTTTGACATTTTTTTTTACAGTTCTCTAAGTAATATAGTTTTTAGTAACGATTTGGGATAGCGATGATAACGTATGGTACTGGAAAAATATAAACAATGTTTAATTTCAGTGAGAATTGTATACACACTCCTTACATAAGAACCAAGAAACGTATTAAAAGATACAAATTTCAAAGAAGAAAAAACAACCTTGGAGTTGTCATTTTATATGTACTTTATGTAGCTTGGTTTTCATAAACATATTAAGACTGATTTTTAAATCAAAAGAGAGGAAAGCTCAAACCTATTACTTACGGTATTATCAGAGGTCGATTTATAAGTCTGGTTTTACAGTCCACTACATTTAACGGGTGTTATGATCTTAAACAATGTAGTTTGGTTCTCAGAACATTTAGACTGATTTTTTTTAATCAAAAGAGAGGAAAGCCCAAACGTAGCTATATGGACTGTTTTATCAGAGGTCTATTTATAAGTCTGTGGTTTTACAATCCACTACATTTAACGGGTGTTATGATTTTAAACAAAAGAGGAGGAGATGAGTGACCAGTTTGATACTACTGTACTTTAATAGTTTAGAGTAAATCAGTTCAGGGACGCAAAATAATGATTGAGTTTGTCATGTATATTACTTTGCGATATAAAAATGACGATTATGACGGGGATTTATTATGAGCATATTTAGGAAATCTTGAGATTGGCTTCATGGTGGCCAAATAGTCTAATTACCATTATCATAGGCCTAATTAGGGACCGGATTGGATTATACTGCGTTGAAAAGTAAGAAATCAATAAATTCAACAAATAAAAGGAGAGTTGGATCCTTATTCTTTTTAAGGAAGTAAAACCAAACAATAAATCGTGCCAAGTTATCAAAACCAACCAAAGCGAAGTTCCAACTATACTAGGTTGATACTACCCCCCCCCCCTTCCCTCCCTCCTCCCTCCCTCTCTCTCTATCTCACTCCCATTCGTCTTTCCCCTCTCCCATTCTCTCTCTCTCTCTCTCTCTCTCTCTCCTTCCTCTCTTTATTCCACTATTTTTTAAAATTTTATTCTCCTTTACCTTCATATCGCTCTGTAACTGTTCACAGTAGCAGTTCTAACTTAATTTATTTATCATGACAAAATTATGTTTAGACATCATAATTACCGATAGTCCTTATTATGGTAGTATTGACCCCTTTCTATGAAAACCGCAATCTTTTGTGTGGATCATGACTCACCCAGCGTCCCTCAATCTTTCTCAATTCTATTTGTTGCTCAACCATGCCTACATGAATAGAAGAAGCTAAAGATAAACATTTCATTCTCCACGACTCCAGGTTTTTAAATGTGGATAACAGTTTGCGGATGCTGAATCAAAACCGCAATAGGTAGGTTAATGGTGATAATGAAATAAGGGTTATGAAAATGTCAGAAGATTGTTTTCCGTTTAGTTTTCAAATATTTTACCCTGTGTACAGTTTTCGAAATCAGTTTGTTTTCTTCCTATATCATGTTGCCTAATCATGCTTCAAACTCTTGTGGACGCTTCATGTATTTCGTTTCAAATTTTGTCATCTACTTTCGTTTTCTTCTTTGCTTTCCTTTCCTTTTTTAACGACAGGGTGTTTTGTCTTTGTATTGATCTCCATATATCCGTTCCCTGGATAAGAGACAAAAACAAGTCAATGTTATTTTCATTGAGAATGATTCTGGTTTTCTTTTCGCTAGAATTGTAAATTTCATCACAATGATGTCAAAGTAAAGGAAACTTAACCGCTATCTTGCTTCCGGTGACCCTTTGAACTTATATTTTCAAAGCTTCTTTGAAATTATTTTGTTGTCATCAAGGAAACTTAGTGCTCGAATACAAAGGCACTTTACATTAATATTTTTGATCGTTATCATCACAATTCCTACATTGGTCTTTATTTTTCTATACCTGGTTATTATTCTTAAAGCGGAATGGGGAAACAGATGAAATTTAACAGTAAACTTGTTATAAAATTTGTTTGGTTATTGTGAAGTTCTGACACACTTGGTATTCCAGAAACGATTATGACTTGCGTAATTCAGGCTCTGTTTTCCTGCGTATTTTTATGCTCCGTGCCAGAGAGAAGTCTATTGAATCGACAAAATGTAAACTTGGACGTCGGGGGCACCGTGACCCCTCCCGTGGGTTATTCACAATGAATCCTATTATGGCAAACAGAGTCTTTCTCCGGGGAAATTAATTCAATATTTGCTCTACACGATGCTGCCGCTTGAAATCATGTTCTAAGCATTAGTCAACAGGCCGTGGTAACTGTTGAAATTGTATATTTTAAATTGCAATTTTGTGGAATTGTCTACAGTCAATATTTTTCATATTTTGACATTGTAAAAAAAAAGTGGAGAAAACGTGTGGAAGTGCTGAAGAAAATACACGCCCTTTTCTCTGTTGTGCATTGGACCACAATATTTATATCATAATTTGCTCATTTTAACCATCTATGTTCACCCTCATCTTCCCATCTCCCCTCTCTCCCTTTCAGTATATATAATATATATATATATATATCTCTCATTCTAGTCTCCCTCTTTTCGATCTTTGCCTCCATATCTCTTTCCCCCTCTCTCTGTCTCTCTCTATAACTCCGTGCCTCCATCCTTTTCCTTCCCTTCCTCAATCTCGCGTTGATGGTCGTGTCCCCTTCCATCCTTCATGCTTCATTATACAATCCGCTTTCTTATTCAAAATATTAATACCATTCCACACACTCAGCTTTCCAGAAGAAAAACATGCCGATAATCCAAGGAAACCAAGAGCAAGGACAACGAGGTTAAAACCTGACGCCGTCCTTGCACATTATGCTAATGACAACATATTCCGATGTGGGCAACGCCCTTCTTTTATATCATTTGATATGCGATTATTTGAAAACAGGAGAAGGGTTATATGATTATAGAACACCTCTATTCTATACCGTAGGCTACGTGAGGAAAGTTGTGTATTATGATACTTCACTTGAAAGGTTTCTTGTCTGTATTGGCGGTAAGCGTCGTGGCACACACCAATGAGTCATCAACCATACTGCAGCGTCGCGCGACTGTAACATTATTACTATCGACAATGGGTTATGGGCGTGGGCGTTAACCAATAATAATACAGTACGTGATGCTGCAGGGTTTTCTCCTGATCGATCGTCCCCGACTCCCCATCATAAACAAAATCATACAGATTCCTTCATAAATCTTCAGATCTGTTTGTCTCCTGCTGCGATATCATTATTTGGGTCATGGATTAATGATTAATGTCATTAAAACGTTTGGTATATTGTGTAACTATATGCCTATTACACGCCAGTGGATTTGGAAGTCTAGATTTGCTATGGTCTCACGTGCAAGTCACAGTGTTGCACACCTGAATGGGGAGGCATCTGTTGATAGTCCAGAACATTTGTTTGAGAGGAAGATTGGATCGTTAAACCGCGTTCAGAGGTATAAATGTCACAATGTCGTTCGCTGAGGTGTAACTATGTTTCTTTGTTTGTTTTGGATAATATTTCTCTCAATGAGTCATTGATTCATGACTGAATCTATTGAAAACACTTTCATTATCCGCGATTTATAGTAAACAGTAATTGTGTTGAATCATTTTCTTTGAGATGGAAACTGTAATATAATGAAGTCTATTCATTTTGTTTACATCCGTATTACAAAGAGTTGATATCAATCGGAAGTATGTACATAAGAGATAGGAGACTGCAAACTTGCGATTGATTTCAGGACTTTTTATAAGATGGGGCCCAGAATTCTTATTTTTTATCGCTGTGTGTGTAAAGCAAGAAGCGCATTTTAAAGGGGAAAATTCATATATTTTTTACCTTCTCCCAAATCATTGTGCACCAGAAGTTTTCTGATTATGAAGTAATAATGAAAACGGTAGAGCGATTTTGTACGTTTGGGAAGTTTCAGATAAAACAGTCGGAGAGAAAGATGTTAGGTTAGGACACTGGTATCATCTCACATCTGCTGTTTAATGAATAATGTTTTCCTGTATTAAATCTTATGTATGTTTTCTTGTATAACATCAGCATTGTATAATTATCATTAATAACGATATCACCATGAATCGAAGCACACCATTGAACGATAACATAATAAAGCTTTTTGTATTTCACTCATCACAGTGACAATCATTAGAATGGTAGATCATTATTTCAATTACACCCAGCACAAAAGGAAAAATAGGACATTCTTAAATGCTCATGTATAACTATAAACCGTCAATATAATATCAGATTAATGGAAGTTAATGCAAAATTTGGGGAAATTTTGAAAATTGGATAGTCATTCTTTAAAATGTTGATATATTTGGATGCCCCTGCGGATGTATTATAATCATTAGAAAATTGAATTATCAAAAATTTACCGGTGCTCCCGGTAAATTTCAAATATTTCAAATAGCGCCTAAGGCCATTCCATGGTAGCTGCGACCATGGAAATCTCAGAATATGCAGTTCTGATATAAAGTTTCCAAACGGGAATATCAAATCGGTCGATTTAGTCATGGAACACTGTTTTAAAGCTAAAGTAATATCAGTCTTGAGAGGGAGCTATACAATATAAAGAGTTTATTATTTACAATTTCATCGCTATAGTCTCGATTTCAAATGCGACAACGATCATTGAATATTGTAAAATCGCATACATGCTTCCAATATGTTCATTTGAACCAAATTCATGACCCCATACCAAAACTTGTATTACCTTTGATACTCTACAAACATAAATTGATATCGAGTTTTAAATTTTCACGCTTGGATGGGCTCAATAATTTGAAGGTCTAATTGAGAACATTGCTAAAATGGAGCAAACAGCTATTTAATTAAAATGTTAATGAACATGTTTATCTGTAAGGTATTCTTGTTCAACAATTAAAACGAAGAATTAGAAACGGTGAGAAGGGCCAAAGGTCTACAATCTTGTCCTGAAGATTCGCGTTTTAATCCCCGTTGCACACGTGGCGTCATTTCGATTGCATAATTACCTGCGCTAATCAAACTATGAAGGCAAGTATTCAAAACGTTTGCATTAATAATAAATAATTATCCTTACTTATATAGCGCCTAACACTTACTTTGTCAGAAGTCTCTAAGCGCTCTACAAATTACCCTGGCTTTAGCAGTGCAGCTGTGTTACAAGGAATAAATTCCTACCAGGTACCCATGTACAATTCCGCTCTCGTCACTGAGATAGTCCTATATGTACGTCATGCAAATGATTTCTCGTGTACATCGGGCATAAGCTGTCTAAAAAATTGGTGTGGAATTACCCCACTTTATTTTCACAATGAGGACATAAAATCATTTCTCCTTTTTGTCCCCTCAGATTAAATGGTCTCCCTGCTAGAGAGATGGACAACGACTTGGACAACACCCTCTCCTGCCCGATTTGCTACGAGCACTATGGTATCCCCAAGGCACTTCCGTGTCTCCACACATTCTGCAGTAGATGTCTTCAGCAGATTGCTGATGGATACATGACCATAACCTGCCCTATCTGCAGCACAGTTCATCAACTCCCAACCAATGGGGTTGATGGATTTAGCACCAACTACGCACTGGCTGACGTCATGGTGGACCTCAAATCACCGAAATTCAAGGAGGTCATGAACAGGAAGAATAAAGTCGAAGAAGTGCAGGACATTGTCAAAAGGGAAGGAAAGAATCTCAAGCACTTGGTTGAGGTTGTCCACACACCGCTTCTGCAAAGCATCACATCATTGAAAAGGGGTGCCGTCCAGCAAAAGAAGGAGAAGGTCAAGTTGGTGAATGAGTTGTACGACAGCATCATCGCTCATGCCGAAAAGGAGCGGGAGAGGCACATCAGCGGGGTGGAGAAAAGTAGCAGCGTCGCCATGAAATACTTCGACGACGCTCAGAGTGTGATTTTGAAGGAAAAAATGAAGATCGAATCCTTCTACACAACAGCTTCGCGCAAATCGTACACGGACATGGAGGAGATGGATCTAAAGGACTTCTTGCGAGATGCAGCAGAGCACAACCGAGGTGGTAGAAGAATAGCAACGGAACACTCCCATCTCATGTGGAGTGATGTTGATATCTCCGAGGATAAAGATCAGATGCGACAGATTCATTCCAGTCTTGGAGACATCGTTCGGGTTCATGGAAACAAACGTTCTCACCGTCCCCGGATCGGGACCATGGAGAATGGCAAGAACGGTAGACCTTCCCGTCGATCGAACAGAAGTAAGAGTGAACCACACCCAGATGCAATAGAAGCAGCTTGTCTGCCCAAGGTAGATAGGAAGAAGTTAAGTGACCCTGTTCGTAATGTCGTCGATTCTGTCCTGCAGATGATACGGAGAGACAACCATCGTGTATATGGCGAGAAGAAAAGTGACTCTAACTCGACCAGAAATGCCACTCCGAAAAGACCACTTGTTATTCCTACGCCCCCAGCAAAGAGAAGCTTGTTTGATCCGCCTCCCTATTTGCGTAGATCGAAGTCAGATGAGGAGCCGCTAGTCGTTCCTAGATCCCAAGCAACTGAATCAGCACCTAGACGGTCTAATAGTACTCAATCTACAGCTTCGGGTAACAGCCATAGTTCAGGAACACCCTCCATTCAAGGACAGCAAGGGCCTCAGAAACCACCTAGAGCTGCCATTGATTCTAAATTGCATTCGCCATGCGGAATTGCTATCACTGCCGATGATGAATTAATGATAGCAGAGCGCCTCACGGGTATAATCAGACTCACCCATCCTCGATGTCTGCGGACGCAAAGGAATGTCAAACCGTTCAGAGGTCACATCGATGAAGCCAAAACACACGCACTCTTTGACCTCACCGTGCTCCCTAATGGAGATGTCGCTGTCACAGACTCAAGCCTCAAAAAGATAATCTTCCTGCAGAAGTTAAACAACTACGGAGCACCTCAACAGATCTGGATGCCGCACGACATGGTTCCTCGCGGTATCACCAGCGACAACGCTTGCATGTATGTCTGTGATGCTGGCAACGGCTGCATTCAAGTGTACACCCATACAGGGAAGCACTGTAGCAGCATTGAACTAGACAATCTCACAACGGATCGGTCACCTGCCATCTCCGAGGTGTGTCCTCAGTCCATTACAGTCAGTCCTAATGGAAACATCCTGGTGAGTGACATCATCAATCGATGTCTGTACCTAGTTCTGCGCACCGGCGAGATCAGCAGGCTGTCCATGAAGTTCACCACACGAAATGGTCTTCGCTGCTCGACGTCCCCCAACGAGGCCGTCCCTCGTGGCGTCTGCTGGCTCGACGACCACCACGCGCTCATCGTAGAAGACAACAGCCAGGAAGTCCTCTTCGTCAATGTCCTATCTATGGAATTGCTCCGCGTGATACGACGACTGGAGTTCATCTCTCTTCAGGGTATGGTACTTGATTCGTCAGGACAAGTCCTCATCACGGACATCGAGAACAACCGAATCCACGTGATTACCAAGTCAGACGTCTCTTCGCGTGGGCCGGGACACCATGCACAACCCACACGGCGCTCAAGGAGTCTGACAAGAGAGGATACTCTTCATGCTCAGGGTACATTAGTGTGAGTTAATCTAAATTTAGAACATGATCGCAGATATATCATAGACTTTCAAAAAACCAACACAATCGCAGTTCCAGTTCTCTAATGTATATCCCTTAGAAATTATGTTCAGATTATGTAATACGTAATTGCAATGTTGACACATTTCAAAAGAAGATGGATAAGGCTATTGAAATTGCCCATAGTTGATTTCTCGAATGTCTTTGCAATCGTGTTATATTTGATATGTCATCGTGATCTTGTGATCTTGTGTAATGGCTATAATTTATTTCCGCCTTGAAAAGGAATTTACATTCGGTCTCATCATTCATGTTAATTAAGGCTATCATTTAGCTCTGCATCTATAATTACAAATTTGAAAGAGGAAGCGATTGGAAAGTTACCCACATCATTTATCATATTTTCACGGCAACTATTGTACTCAACATTACTTCGAAAATGATGTTAATTTGTTAGAAAAAATAGATCACAGAAGATTTCAACAAGCTGAAAGCGCGTCACAGTATTTTCCTCCAGACTTTCAGATTATAATATCATTGTTCATAGCAGTTATTCCAATATTCCATTTGCTTCGCAACTTAACATAATGAACACAATCATTAGGCTTTTTTTGTTTCGTTAGTTTTTTTTTTTAATTCAAACATTCACTATACTTTACTTACTAGCGTTATAATGATGTGAATCGACAATCACTAACCAATATTCTTGAATTTTGAATTAGAAAGTACTTTAATACAATGTTAATAATGAAAAACCTATTTGATGAAACACTGTCAAAATAATACAAATTGATATCATTGTTAAACTTTGGGGATGTCTATTCAGTCCCGTAGAGCAATTAAGATTTGCAATATTAAGACTTTTCGTATAAGGTTACTCGTTTTTAATAAAATCTTCTTGTATTTTAGTGATTGTGTTTAGCACAAACTGTCGTGGCTTTAAGTAAGCACTGCATTATAGGAGCAAACGATATTGAATTTGAATCAAATAATTCATTATTTTATGGAAATTTATATCACAACATTCCTAAAATTGCGTGGACATTACTGAACATTCTGTAAATAGGTATAATCCAAAGATCCATTCACTCATCATTTTTCTTAATTACTTTAAAGTTAATTGCTATTACTTTTTATGTGTACATGTAACATATTCATAGCATTTTAAAATAGTTGTAGAGTAGCCGGCCACTGCGCCGCACTACTGTTACGTCATAGATACTCACGATGTTTATATCAAAATTATTTTCTTCTTGTCTCTGAATTCAGTCAATTTGTATGATAGACTGTGTACATTAGTGTCTATAAGCAAATTCAACTCTGGAATGAAAATATAGCTCAACACACAGTTCTAGATGTATAGTATTGAGAAATATATATATATATATATATATATATATATATATATATATATATATACACAATATGCGACAAGCGCGTACACGCGTACATGAGTGTGGTCATCAAGGAGATCCATGATGATTCCTTTCCACGTACAATCTTTTGGAGGGAAATACATGATTGTGGCTCCATGAAATGATTGACCAATCTGCTGCGACTACCTAAAAATCATCTTACTATGCTCGTACCCATAGCGTACTGTCATTCCTGTGTGCAGTATTCATTTTGGCCTCGCCCTTTTCTAAACTGTTGGGGAGTTTTTTAATATAAGTTGACAACTTGACATCAAATGTGTCATTTCATTTCATATTGGATTTTATATGAGCTCTAGTATGAATATCAACCTGATGCAATGATCAGGGCATCGTTTCACGAAACCGTCGTACGTACAAGTTTACCGACATCCCATCGAAAAACTTGTTAAATTCAGTACACGTATTTCAGTGGATTGTCGGCGAACTTGTACTTATGACGGTTTCGTGAAACAGTGCCCTGGCAGATCAACATAAATATTGTTCTGTAACGTATGGGGCAATATATCTTGGAGCTCTCCGAAAGCATACCTCGAAGAAACGTACAATTTTACAATTAAAGAAATACTAAAGATTTTTGTATTCACCAATCATTGCGTAGAAGGTTAAGAGAATATATGTTAGTGTCTTACAAAAAATAGGCCTTTAGATTTATAAAATAACCTACATGCACTTGTAAATATTTAAATATATATTTTTGCACCGCAATAATTGTCTGTATATAAAAATCATTTGTAAATGCAGCTTTGAAATTAACATTTATTACTTTTGTGGATAAAACCCGAGAAGTTCTAGATATGCATACTTTGTGATTGTTTTGATTGTGATTTATTGACATCCACATTTCTAGAGTGTATTTTATGATCTTTTTTATGAGAACGATTCTATTCCCCGAGTATATTTCTATTTCCACTTACAACCTAAATAATTTAGAAGAAAAAAAATTATCTTTAAATATATTTGGATGGCCATTCGATATTTGGGGACCCTTATACAAAATATAAGTTGCCGCCTTCTTATGGAACTGACCGATTGATTGATTGATTGATTGACTGACTGATCGTAGATCGACTGAATGATGTTTTACTCCAATATATTAATTATTGTTGTACTGATCACGTACAAGACTGACGATGTTTAATTGATGGTCTTGTTGATTGATTGATTGAATTTGTTATTTCTCGCTGTCGCTTGAAGCATGCGAAAAGTAAAACGTCAGTATTTGAATGAATAAATAGCCCCATTCGATGCCCAAATCAAAAAGATTCATCCCTTGCAAATTATTTAGTATACTGCCATCTACGACCAAATCAAGGTACAAACTCAATCCACCTTAACAAACACAGAACTGAAAATCAGTTCTTTAATAACAAATTCAGTTGGAGACAATTGTTGATGACCAAGACATGAGGTCAGACTTATCATGCATACAATATCCAATATATCATGTTAACTAGGAGGTCTTCTAATGTATGTACGTAGGATATTCTAATCGTTGAGGAAGTAGGGTTTTAAAAAGGAATTATCTTTTACGGTTTCGATGTAGGTCAGTCAAAGAAACTATAGCAACAGTTCTTGACATGATTCCATTTTGGTACATATTAGAAATTAATGGAACCTTGGTTGTATTATTGGCCGAAGCTGGGTATTAAGTTAAATATACACAAATATGCGGCTCACAAGATATACGTCTTCAATAAGTACAAATAAATACATATTTTTTTATATTCATTCATATTAAAGCCATTGTACTTAAAGTCGTATAATTATGTTCTTGGCTTACTTGTACATTTTTATCATTATCATTTTATTTTGTTGTCACTTGGGATTTCTTGATATTGGGAGGCAATAGTATTCAAATTACTTATGTAACAATATATATATACACAGGTAGGTTTTAATGAAATAACAGTAAAATTCGGACCCAAATGAAATAAATGAACATTGCTGAGTTTCTAATGATATTAATGATAATAATAATAGCAATAATGATAATAATAATAATAATGATGATAATGATAATAATATCAATGATAATAATAATAATAATGTATTTATAAAGTGCATTCTCCATACAAGTCATGTTCGAATGTTTTCAATAGTGTTATTATCAAAAGAGGTGAGTTTTAGATAATTGTTGAAGATAATGTTGTATTAAGAGACTGTTGGTTGCCAATAAATCTGGGTAGGTTATGCCACATTTTGAGAGCAGCAGTTGTGAATGCTCTGTCATTAAGTTTGGGTAGCATCTTGGGAGACGGATGGTTCAGCATGATAAATGCAGGGTTTACGGGTCCCTTGACAACCCCCCCCCCCCCAAAAAAAAAAAACCAACAACAAAAAACAACAACAACAACAACAACAACATACGCACCTCCAAAAAAGTGGGAAAAGAAAATGGAAAAGTTGAAAAAAGAATAATGAAAAGGACAGAGAAACATACAAGCAAAGAAAGGGAAGAAACAAATAAATAAATAAATATTCGTAATAATTGTTGCAGGGTGTACCTGAGTTTTTGCGTTTTTGTGTTCCTCGTGCTTTAAGAAAATATCAAGCAAGTATATCATGCACTGAGAGGCTCAGAATGAAATTATGAACTCTCTGAATCTGAGCTGAATAGTATAGCACTATAATGCTTGTTACCGAAGAGAATCTATAGTTTTACTGGTGCATTGGAAGTAGTGCGTGGTATATTTATATCCTTCATTTTGTTTAAAGAACACTGAAGGGGTAAATTATCTATAAAGCTGGAAATATCATAAAATCACCAGTTTTGTTTAAACTGTAATGACAAGAAATACATGATATTTTCTAGAAAAAAATTTGGGCTAACTTCAATGATCTTATTGCTCAGTCACATTAGCGAATAATAGGCCAAGGCTCATCGTAGTTCGCCGGGTGCGTGTTGTCTAGTGGGTATGTATCATCCATTTATCACGTGAGCCATCCCTGACCATTCCCTGCCCCCCCCCCCCCCCCCCCCCCCTGTAAAAAACTTTCTCTCTCTTTCAAAGACTTTATAGAAAAAAAATCCACTTGGTTATTTGGGAACCGTTTTCATTCGTTTTCATACAGTCTTAACTGATTTAAGTAGACCATTTACTTCACGTTTGAGAAAAAAAATCTCGCTTATAAGAAGCATGTGGGCCCACCGCCTCTCTCTCTCTCTCTCTCTCTCTCTCTCTCTCTCTCTTTTCTCTCTCTTTTTGTCTCTATCTATCTATCTATCTGTTTGTCTTTCTTTTTCTGTTTTTTATTTCTCTTTCTTTTCCCCTCCCTTTTCTCCCTCTCTCTCTCCCATCTGTCTATATCTATCTATCCAGTTTTCGAATATATCTTCACAGCCCTCTCTCTCTCTCTCTCTATTTTTTGGTTCGCCCTGTCTTCTTATCTCTCTCTCTCTCTCTCTCTCACACTCTATGTCAGTCTGTCTCTGTCTGTTGCACAAACACACATACACATTCGCACCAACACACACACCCTCCCACACACACGTACACGAACACCTCATTGTAATGTGTGATTTTGAATTTATTGAAACAACATCGTCACAAGGTATAATGACATTTCGTTACAGAAAATTAACAAACAAAAAGTAATCATAGCATATCTTGTTTTTTCTTCACATGTACAAAGTTTTAACATGTCTCCACAAACAGATATTACACATCTTATAATTATATCCAATGATATCACGAATAACTTTATAAACTTCTAGTTTCATTATCTTTACAAATCTTTCTTTATTGTTCAAATTGTTAAAATAATTATCAATGATATTATTATTATTTTTTTTTGTAAACATTTGTGTAATCATGTTGTTTATCTCTTTGTATATTTGGATCAAATCATCTTCTAACACAGCTTTATATATATAGACCACGTCACACAAAGATAGGCCCTATAACATAGGCCAGTCGAAACAGCATTTCAAAAGACGCACACATTTCGAAGGTACAAACAAGTCCCATGATACCTAAAGTATATATCGCAAGACTATACATATTTCGACTTCTTTTTGATAGAAAATCGATATAAAGCATGGCATGAAATTTACCGCAAAAGTGTATGGGGTTAAAAATGATGAAACGTTATATTTCGCTTATGAGCATTGCTTCAAAATGGTGTCATACCAACGATATGCCCTTGTAATGAACAGCAAATAGACTATCACCAATAACACCGATCAATCAGACTTACTATCATTCTTGTGCTATTTTTAAAGAAATAATCATATTATTTAAGAAAGAGTGTGAAATATAATTTTCTATTAAGGATAATTACGAACTTTGAATAAGCTTCGCATAGCTTTGTTCATTTTGTAATTTACAAGAAATGTTCATCTTTAATTCCATTGTCTGTGTTATAACTCTCTCTCTCTCTCTCTCTCTCTGTATGCATATCAGTTTGTCACACAATTTACACACGTAAAATATATACACTGTATATAAAAACCACTCAACCGAAGACAAAGAAAGCGATCTTCACGGGCAGATGATCTATATACACAGGTTCATTTAGTTTATGTTTCAAATGAGAAACTCTATTCCTGGGAAACAGAAAATGTGTTCTTAATAAACAGGTGTTCACTAAAACATGCTTTACCGAACATTGTATAAAAAAGGCCCAAACAAATTATATATGTACTTACATATGTTTTTCATACAGCGCAAAATCCAATCAAAATTGCTCAATGCGTTATACATCATGAAATGGGGATAAACAGACACGAAATACATACATATAATAATCCACATGTCAGTTTTCTTGAAGTAGGCCTAAACCATGCACTTTTCATGACATTTTCTGCGTATATAAACATTCTAATCAC